TAAGCATTTTATCAGAGAACACATCTGTATGAGGTTCTAAGATGATTTCATGCTTGCATCCATCCGAATATTTAAATAATAGACGCATCGAATCATCGTCATTAAGATCAAACGAAATAGATGTTGGCTTTGCAAAATCTTTTTGTGGTTTTTTATTACTAACCGGCGTACTTATTTGATTATATCGAATGAATAAGAAAGGTCAAAAAAGCAGAAAACAAACCTTTTTATTGAGTTGAAAAAATTAGCATACGTGTATAGTTTCGTTAATTTTCTCTAAAAAGGGAATTAACGTACATTGCTGATCTTCTGCCAAAGGACTGATAACTCCGTAGCAGTAGATTTTCTCTAAGGAGTTATTAACGTTTAATTATGCTATAAATAACTTGTTGCAGAATCATATAACTACGAACAGTTAAAAATATTTATGACGAACCTATAGCAAATTCAATGCTTGTGTTATGGTTCATTATATTCAAGTGCAACAGAAACGGTGTAAGAAATTCTAAAATAATTTACACCATTACTATTGTACTTGACCCATGAACAGTTTTTACTGTATTAATTTTCCACTGTATAATTAGAATTAACCTGATCAGTTTACTGAACCAATTTCAAATTTCCTAATCTGTAATTTCATTCAATAGGCGTGGTTACAAAATTTGTAGAATGGTAACGTGTCCTCGTAATTCTGTTTAAACTATCATTACCATATTCTCTCTGCCAAATAGTGTATCTTCCAGATATTTTAAACGGTAAATAATGGTAATTAATATAGTATAGAATGTCAACAAGCAAAATATGAAATAAATATGGAAATAAAAGAGCTTTATCTCATTTTGTAATAGAAATACAGATGTATTAGTTAGTTTTAGTTCAGCTCTATGTTAGACATTTACAAGATGACACACAAACTTTAAATGCATTGCTGAATACATGTAATAAATGAAATTTTGATTTCGTACACATGACTGACTTTTATGCACCATTTTCGTGAAATCGATAACTTCCACTGCATATAATCATTTATTATCTCGATATAGGTGGCCTACTCTCCCACCACAGGTAAGATATTAAAATGCTTAATTTTACATTACCTAAAGGCAAGGATCTCCCCAACCTCAGTTGATGTGTAATATCGATGTCAGACATTGCAAAATACATGTACATGAATACGATCTAAATGTATGATAGCTTAAATGTTATGGCAAAAATCAATGTCTATTATTATAATATAATTCATAAAAGGTATGAATCTATAAGAGGATATTCTAAAAGGCAAATTACAATAAATAGAACTATTTGATTTTAATTACTAAATTATGTGAAAATAACTAATGATCTGAGCTCTATATTTCAAACTTTAGCTATATTATTTCTCGTAAAACATATTTTTTAATATTTACTGTATTACCAAATTTTTTTATGTAGAAATTCTTATGAATAGTCAAAGAAAACTATATTTATATAAATGTTTACAAATTTACATCAAAAACTCAGAAAGACAATTATAATATGTGTATAAATAAATAATTCAGGAATGATAATAGAATATAGATGCTAATAATTATAATATTATATATAATTCTAAAGTCTTATAAAATGTTTTTAACGATCATTTGAAAATAATTTTTCAAAATTGAAAGCTTCAACCATTTCAGGAGCTCGATCATGACCATTTTCTTTAGCCTTTTGATACCATTTTAATGCTAAGTCAAGATTTTTCGAAATACCTATTCCATATTGATAAAATTT